AATGTGCTTGAATTGAATTGAAGTAGAATTTTAAGATTATTTATTATCCTCTTCTGATTTGACTGACTGGTGGTAATAATATCTTCCATATTTCTGGTATTTGCATTGAGTTATTCCTATTGCATGTGTTGGATGGGGACTCGATGAACAAGGCTTACGTAGTCAACCTCTCTCGCTCTCCACCTACATAGATTACTCCTCATTCTATTGTGTGGTTGTGTGTTAATGCATGTAGTGCAATTACTGCCTTTTTTTCTAAATTACTTATCTTCTCGGGTGGGGTCAACCATTCTTACCTTAGCTAAATGCTTATATTTCAACAATCTGATTGCACCCCACCTACTAGTTTGGCCTATGTAGTTGACCTCAATGACAGTCATCGCAAGGTATTTTGTAAATTATATTATTTTGTTTAACTGGGTCTCTGAGTGAGTTCTTTAGGTTTGAATGCCACCACCCAAATTCCTGCTTTATTAAGAATCCTGCGTAGGCTCTCAGATTTCCCCTCCTTATATGGGATAACAGTGGATGACTTATATTCTCTCTTATTTATGTTATCATTACTAGTTTCACAATTATTTTTAATTTGCTTTTGGCCTTTTTCGATCTTTCTAATGAATAATAATAATTCCTGTGATCCAATGTGTATATTCCGTGATTCATTTTTCGTTTAATATAAGTACCGTTTTCATAGATATGAACGACGGCACTTATTTCTCCAAGTAAATAAGTAATTCCATTGATCTTTTGTGAGACGATCTCCCAGCAGTGCTGATACCACTGCACTGCTGACATTTTAGTATTCCCTGTTCCCACATCTGTAGCAGATACTGGTCGTCTCAGTAACTAACTGTGGCTTTCACTCAATATTCTACTAAGGTAGATTTTTGACTTTGAGAAGAATGTATCGAGAAAAAAATCACCATAATTGTGTAACTTATTCATTCTCACAGACTTCCTTCTATCGACACCGATGACATCTGAATGCATAGACATCAGTAAGCAGCCTGGCAGTATTTCTGAAGATTCATTATCCCTCTACCCCACACGCATGTTTTAGTCCTTCCCATTCAACCTTCTTTTTCCACACAGAAGTCAAAAATCAAATCTGAGCGTAATTTCCAACGAAAATTATGAACAGCAACCATTTGTGATGTTAAGCGGCGATCTGATTGGTTGCTTCAAGGTCATTGGACTTAGGTATCTATACTTTTTCTATTTCCCGCTTCATTTAAATTGCAGCATTAACAATATTTATTAAATTATTGATTCCTAATTGAAGTCATTTAGAAAAAATTTAATTTTTATATTGATTATTGTTCAAATCTGTAAGAAAACAAAAATAATCATCAATCATTCCAAGTTCATACGTGTTTATCTAAGTTTATAAAAACAATAGAAATAATCGTTTCAGTATAAGAACTGACTATTCAGGGGTTGATTTGATTGGCTACAGGATTTCATCATGAGCTGAGGTCAGTTGGAGAGCTAGCTTTGTAGCTGGAACGTCCTGGGTTCGAGTGCTGGAGGTGGGCGCGTACCATTGAAGAGCCCCAAACAGTTGTCCAGTACTCCCAGTTGAACTTCCAATGGTTCTCTAACCGATGTCAGCTGATAATGAAATCCTGTAACCTGTCGAATCGAATCCCTGCAAACAAACACTTGAAGATCAATCTGATGCTCACTACTGGTTGGTCCTATTCAGGTAGGCAGTCACGTGGGTTCTCGTAAGAACTTGTGACCATTAGGGTACAGCAGGTCAGGGGTGTGAGGAAAAATGCCCGCCACCAATGACATTAGTTAGTTGTGTCACCATGTCGTGAATTGGCAGAAGTTGGAATCCATCGGGTGGCCATTGAATCAGATCCCGGTGTCTGTATGATCTTCGAGCTCGTCTCGTAACCAAAAGTTCCTGGGTTCGATGAGTTGCAGACTAGAATGAAACTGCTGTTCGGCACTTTGAGGTTTTCTAGGGGTTCTCTAACCAATGCCAGTTCATGACGAAATCCTATAACAAGAAATGACTGTTGTGAAGATTGTAATAAGTGGTTCAATGGTCGAATGATCATCTACCAGGCATGTGATCCAGGGTTCGACTCCTAGATGATCCACTTAAAAGGCGCTCTACGCCAGTTATAAACATGACAGAAAGGAAAGGTTGGGCTTGATTGGCTAGCAACCTGTCCCACCTGTAAAAACAAAAGCCAATACTATCGCTACTGCAGGTTCAAGGATTCAAGCTTCAAGCCCAACGTATCACTAAGAACGCAAGATTTTTGTAATCCAAAATTCTAAGTATCTAATTAATTCATGCCTGTTAACATTATTAGAATGAATAAGAATTTGCCCTGAATTGTGTAAGTTGCAAATTGAGAATTTGGTTTGCTTCTAGGCTTCTAGGAATTTCCTGACATTTTTATTGTTTCCTCCGTTGAAATTTTCATTTCATTTCGAAGTTATCACTGGAAATATTGTCTAGAATAACGATGAATGCTCCTCAATTAAACCACTGACAGTTCAGAGAACATAACCTCATCAAAAATGTCTAATATTAATCCACCCTCCCCATCCAAAAAATGTTTTATAATGATTCAGTGAAGATCTCGGCAGCCTCTTGGTGATATAATTAACTTTAGCTCTCAGTGATGCAGATGTGCATTCTGGAGGGAACACAAATTTCTTTAAGATGACAGGTAGTACGCTATACTGATAAGCGCCGGAAGGGACGAAAATTATTTGCTAATCAACACTAATGACATCATCCAGATTGTTGTAATATTGCAGTGTAGGACAACATACTAATCGTCTGACTGATAGAAATCAGTCTGCACCAAAAAAGGACTAAACACGTCACACTAGTTACTGACCAGTGTTCAATCAAAATACCCACTACAGTCCTACAAGAGGTCAATCGCGAACCCGAATAGCTAAGTGGTAACGTCTCTGACTGCAACTCTCACTGGATGACGCGGGTTTGAATCTCAGAAGTAAGGACATGAATTCCCTCAAGGTGGTTGCAGATACGCCTTGCTGATGAATGTCAACTTGCACAAAAACTAGGTCCTAGGAAGGCTTCCTGTGGCCGATCGCCTTCAACTATCTAATATCAACATACTAATTATCTGAATAAAAGAAGGATCAGCGTCTAACAGTCTTGCTTCGAAACATTATTTTTACAAAAAGAATCAAAATATTGTAATCTGAACGTTTATTCCATTATGGATGAAATTTATTTTGATAAAGTCTCACAGTGTTATACAGTAATATTTACTGATGACCACGTTTCAAGCGCAGTTTATTACTGCTCATAATCTCATATCCAAGTACTCACACGACTTTCTAACTTCACTTATATAATTCCATTATTTCCACTCATCTCTTGATTTGACGATAGGTAGTAGTATTTCCCGTATCTCTGATATTCGTGTTGTTGAGTCATTCCTATTGCACATGTTGGATGCAGACTCGATGAACAAGGCAGGATTCAGTAGTCAACCTCTCTCGCTCTCCACCTACCTAGATTACTTTTTAGAATTGTAACCCTTTCCCACCCTATGGTATAGTTGTGTGTTAATGCTTGCAGTGTAATCGCTTAGCTTTTTTCTAAATTACTTATCTTCTCGGGGTCAACCATTCTTACCTTAGCCACTAAATTCTTATGCTCCGTCAACCCTCGATCTACTAGTTTGGCCTATCTAGTTGACCTCACCTTACAGTCATTGCGAGGTATTTTGTAAATTATATTATTCTGTCTAATTGGTTGACAGGTAGTACACTATACTGATGAGCACTGAAAGGGACGAAGATTATTTGCAAATCAACACCCATGACATCGTTAGGATTGCTGTAATGTTGTTGCTTAGGACAACATAGTCATCGTTTGAAAATCAAGGATAATCACAGCTCAACAGTTTTTCTTCGAGGCATTATTCCTACAAAAAGAATCGAATAAACGTAATCTTAACGTTTATTTTTATGAATTAAATACGACGTTAGTGACAAGTAGATGTGATGAATTTATTATTATTATATCCTTAAATTTCCAGAGGAACATAGGGCTTCAGCTGCGCATCTCTATCGCCTTCGGTTTTCTGCCAACGTTTTCACCCCACTCCAAGTCCGCCCACATGTTTTCATCTCCTCTTCACATGACCTCCTCCAAGTCACCCATGCACTGACGACCGATTCGCCGCTTCCCTTTCAGTTTTCACTCGTCGGCTTGTATAGTGATGTTACTTGATGGTTTCCTCAGAGCATGGCCAATCCACCTCCATTTCTTCCTGCCTATTTATTTCACAATCGGTTCCTGGTTGGTTAGCTCCCAGAGATACCTCTCTGTTGCTGATCTTTTCTGACCGGCCATCTGATCTTGAGTATTGAGCAAAGACAACTGTTAATGACGGTCTGAAGTTTGTTTGATGTGCTCTTTATGAAGCGCTGGCCAAGTCTCTGATCCGTATAGTAGCACTGACTGACTTCACATTGGAGTTGAAAATCCGGATATTATTTTTGATGCTGAGTGATGCTGACCTCGACACAGACTTGAGAGTAATGAAAGCTTGTCTTGCTTTCCTGATCCTCGCTGCTTTGATATCCTCATCAGTTCCGCCTGTAGTTGAAACGATGCTTCCCAGGTCGTTGGGTCAAGGGGGTTGTTTCTTTCAGGTTCCTCCCATTTATAAATTAAAACCCCAGAAATACGACTTTTGTGACAATTAGATATGATGGATTTATAATTGACTAAAACAAAAAAAGAAAAAATTATAACAAACCTTAAAATGTCATATTTTAAAAAAAATATCAAACATTCGTTTTTCCTTAAAACAATAATAATACTAATAACCAATTTTGTAAAACGCGGGAATCAACGAATTAAAACAAACAAAAATAAAATCAAAATTCATTGTCCAATAAGTTAGTAGCTGAATTCTGATTGGTTAATATTTTTGAGGGAAAAATTATTCACTTCAATTCAGTTATTTTTCATTTTCGATTGATCACAAAATTAGAAAAAAAGTGTTTAAATAAGTAATTATTTTGGGGAAAACCATTTTTTACATAAATATATTTACATTCCACCCCGCGAAAATAAAAACAACATGAAAATTTGAAAACCATGATTAAATAATACACATGTGAGTACACGGAAATTGAAATAAAGAGGTACCGTTAGGAGACAAGAATCGATCAGTCATGAATTCAAGTATGGACTGTCATTTAGCCAGTCTGTCTTATCCTAACAATATGGACACTAGTTATCCTGATGAGACAGACAGTATGATAAATCATGCAAGAAGTTCCCCATTGAATACTACAATCAGTAATACAAGTGTAGAAACACTATCGACTTCAACAAGGACAACGCCACCACTGGTGAAATGTAGCAACGACGACGACGATATTGATGACAATGACGATTTGGAAGGAGAGGAGGCAGTGGAAAATGACAGCCTAAATGATACGAATTCACACACAACAATCGATGACGACGAGTTGATGAATAGTTATACAGCTTCAATAGGTAACCATGACAATGAGGCAGCGGAATATATAACTGACGATGTTGGATTAAATGATCAATTATTCCCCGTGAAAAAATCAGAGAAACAGGTTACATTTCAAGATGTTGTTGAAATTTCAACAATTTATTCAATTGTCAATGAATCTGTGGAATCTGTCTCGTATACTTCGGAGGTGGATGATGCTATCGACGAGGAATTTCTCTGTGACAATGAATGTAACGGTCGAAAGGATTATAAAGGGATTAAGTATACAGAAGATCAGTTAAACGAACTAGAAAGGCATTCTAATGCTGACCAGTGTTCTTCGGAAAAAGATTTATTGACTGTAAGTAGCACCGCTGTGTTTTGTATCGTTTCTGTAATTATTACTATTATTATTAACGTCATGTTAGTAAAGTCGACTGTATATGATAGGATAGTTAAAAGTTTAAAATTTCCGCCATGTTAGATTTGGTTAATACTAACAAAATTTGAGATTTTTAAATGTTGGTTTGAAGATATTTGATTTATTTCAAGTGAGGTGATGAACTGATAAATCAGTTAGAGTAACCAGTGAAATGCAGTAGGGTAGACAGAATAAGGGCTTTTAATTTATGTGTAAAACTTGGGCACTATAATAATAAGTAATTCCATGAGAGTTTGTTTATTAGATGTATCACACACAGTGAGTGAAACAGTAGTGCTATTTACTGGATGACACAGTTTCGAACAACAAAATTTATTGCTGTTCATAATCATATCGTCACTTATAATCACACAACTTCGAAACTTAGTTTTAAAGTCTTCTTTCTACTCTCCCGTTTGTCGTCGTTGGGGTGATGGAATTTTCCAGATATCTGGGTGGACAGGTGTTGAATTATTCCTATTACACGTGTTGCTTCTCAGTTGATTCGATAAATAAAGCTTCTGTTATCAATCTCTGGAAACCCACACATTCAAACAGATATTTGAACTTCTGATCATTCCGTCCTACGTCAGTAAAAATAGGATTAGTGAAGTGTTTAAGTGACAATGAACAAAAACTAAGTAGTATCAAGGAAAATCTAAGACAGGAAGTGATACACATAAAGCAAGCCTTGAAACTTAACAATTACCCTGATTAATTAGTCAGGAAATATGTTAAGAAATGTAAAACTAAATAAATAATTGATGTAAGAATAAAACTTGTGCATTGTGGAAGAGTATAATTCCATTATGGGTATATTTTTGTTTTGATAAAGTCTCACAGTGTTATACAGTAATGTTTACTGATTACATTTCGAGCACAATTTATTATTATTATTATTGCTCCCTTAGGTTCCTAGTGGAACATACGGCTTCAACTGCACGTCTCCAGTTGCCACTTTTGTCTTGCTTCTGCTGTACTCTTCAACTGTATGTTAGTCCATACTGTTTCAACTCCTCTTCACACGATCTCTTCCATGTCACCCACCCTTGCACTGACGACCCACTCACCGCTTCCCTTTCGGCCTGGTTCCACTCGAGCAATGGCCTGACGCGCGATGTCACCCAGCGGCCTCCTCAGCGAGTGAGAGTCCAATCCATTTCCACTTTCCCCTGCATATTTGTTGGTTGGCGATTGGTTCTTGTTTTGTTTGTTTGTTCCCATAGTTTCTTCTTGGTGATTCCTTCCGGCCCGGCCATCTGATCTTCAGTATAGAGCAAAGACAGTTAGTTGTTAATAAAGGTGTGCAACCTTTTGGAAACATTCTTTGTGACCCACCCGCCAAGTTTCTGATCCGTATAGAAGAACTGACTGACTTGACATTGTTTGTATTGAAAATCATACTGAATTTCTCTGTTGATGCTGAGTGGTGAAGATTTCCAGACTGGTTTAAGATTGATGATCAATGTGTTTCTCGCCTTGATCTAAATTTCTCGACTGTCTTCTTTTGGAGAGGCTAACAAATGTTTTAAATTGTTGTCGCGTACAAATATCCACACACACACACACTCCCTACTGTATACCAGTTATACTTGTACGTCGGTGGCACAGCGGTTAAAACGCTCACCAACCATGCATTTAGTCCGGAGTTTGATTTCCGGCCGACAAACACCTGATATCATTGGTTGGCCCGCTAATTTTGGGCTACCGATAGCACATGGTGAAAATTTCATACTTTACCAAAAATGCTGTGTGAAATCAAGCTATAATCAAAATAAAAACAAAAACTTTTTTCAATATTCACTTATCTACGACCATGAACTTTTAGTCGAACGTCATCACTAAACGTCTGATGTAAAAGTACACACTGTTGACAGTGTTTAACAAAAGTAGACTACTAATATTTTTAAATCTATGGTCGGATTTTGATGACATTTCACGCAATGTTGTTGTTTATTATATTGTTGTCATGACTCCTATGACTGGACAAAGTTTTTAAAAAAACAAGTGATACCATTTTTAAGTATAAATTCTAGTTATTTTAATTTCGATTAATTTCCCTGAAGAAGAAGTTCGGACCAGTTTTGCAAACGCAAAATAGGTTGGAATTACTTTATTTCAATTTCGCTGAGATTTTAAAGATATAATTTTTAAAAATGTCTACTTTTCACTCGGTGCCTAGTTACTGTGGAGACATGTCGTCAAATATTGACCACAGGTGATATGAATTAAGCAGTTCCTGGGGGAATTTTCAACAACACTTTCCTTCGGGAACTGAAATTTAATCATGCCTACTGTCTTAATTGCCACTTAAGCAGATCATATACTGCGTGTGATCCATTTCCAAGGGAAACTGTGAGTGTAACTTGAGTATTCTCTCCGAGGCGTTACCAATTCAACCAAGAAGTTTGGCAGAATTTTTGATGCTGTAAAGTGAATTGGCTTCCAGAGCGGAGTCAACTTGGGGAAACCATCGTCTGGTGTCCGGATTATTTTGATCCGGTTGGTCAACAATCGCTGCAAGCTGATCCCCGTCTAAGAACTACTCATATCGCTTAGTTAATAGTATATAACACCATGTAATTATATCCCGAACATAGGGGCCAATATTAATCAATACCTCAGACAAATTAGATAAGGGTGATAGAGTTACGTAATCAATAAATAATTTAATGGGAAATGAGTTGTAATCACGATGGGTATAGGAATGAAGGAAAAACGTGGTGTTACATAAGAGATCATGACACCTAGAGTCACATATTATGTGAATACACACAATTTTCAGAGGGGTTGAAAGGCTAAATTCACAAAACAGGTGTTATTATGTGTAAAGCGTATTGAATTAAACACGATTACATAATGTAGTGTCAGTTTTGTTTGAGGTTTCCAATGGATTGATTTTATAAAACCAAGACGATCAATAGGTGTCATGATCCACTGGCCTCGTGGAAAATCTTTTGGTGTTGAAAACTATGGCTTCTGGTAATACAGGTGCACAGAGTGCTGATCCCACTGCTAACCAAACTATTCAAAGACCAAAGTGATTGACCATTGAGTCACTTGTGTCAGAGTTCATCGACCCATGAATTCTCATTTTAGTTAATTAGTTCGAGACTTTAGCGTGATTGTCAACCAATGGTGTAGGCAAGCATTTACCTTCACACTTGACCTCGTGGACCTCTAATAGTCACCACTGTTCAGGCGAATTTGTCTTGTATTCGTGAAATGAGGCCCAAGTAGCTGAATGTTCGCTGGGTTAGGTTGTGGTGAGAGCAGGCTGCTAGCCGATTGGTTGGCACTAATCTACGTTAAGGTCTAGGTCACTAATATGGGCCGTGAGAAAATATGAACAAGCCTGAGTCAACAACCAATCACAGCAAAGTTAACGTGGCAAAATATGATTCGCAGATAGAGAACTTTATTTGTCAAGGAATCCCGAAACAACCAATCAGAAGCCTGCGTTTGTCTACCTAAACAACCAATCAGATGACTGCGCTTGTCTATAATAATGTAGTTGAAATATGTATAAATACGTGTTGATTTTCATAATAAAACGATCTGTTGCTTCGCCCTTGTCTTCTGTTGTTACATTTGGTGTCGCTGCCTACCGACAAATGAAAAGCCTATACCCTGCAGTTTTTGATGGAGACATATGGATCTTCGGGCAGGACTTCAAGGCTTCTGCGCAGTTGAGTGGCGTTCAAGATCTGTCAGCGATGGAGCTGCTACTTGAGACGCTGCTGGGAGGTCGGGCGAAAGCAGCATATGAAGGTGTGGGCCGAAGTATGGACGAATGTTCGACAGGGTCAGGCAAACAGTTTCCAAAGTGGGAAGGACCACATATGGTCACTTCGAGATGGGATTACGCGGACACAATCGCAATGACGAACAATGAGAGGCGCGTGAACGTCAGCGAGCTCCAGAAATGGATACAGCGAGACAAGCCAACGATGACGCCTGCACCAAGTAGATCAAGCCGACTTCAGTCGCACGTATTTGACGGGGGGACGAGTGTGGTGAGAGCAGGCTGCTAGCCGATTGGTTGGCACTAATCTACGTTAAGGTCTAGGTCACTAATATGGGCCGTGAGAAAATATGAACAAGCCTGAGTCAACAACCAATCACAGCAAAGTTAACGTGGCAAAATATGATTCGCAGATAGAGAACTCTATTTGTCAAGGAATCCCGAAACAACCAATCAGAAGCCTGCGTTTGTCTACCTAAACAACCAATCAGATGACTGCGCTTGTCTATAATAATGTAGTTGAAAGATGTATAAATACGTGTTGATTTTCATAATAAAACGATCTGTTGCTTCGCCCTTGTCTTCTGTTGTTACAAGGTCTTCTAACCTGAAGGTCCTGGATTTGATCCCTAGTAATCTATCATGGGTACAGACCATTGAAGAGTCCCCATCTATGTCGAAACAGCTCTTTCCAGTGCTCCCTGATTTTTAATGTTCAAAAGTTGGAGTTTATATTCAGAAAATAAGATATTTCAAACTAGTTAAGGCATTGTTGTCATCCTTTTTTTGAGTATCTTTCATTGACTGTTATCTAATCATCACATGAATGAAGTATATCACTTTTTGGTTGAATCATCAAAAAAAGTAATTATTTATTCCATCTTTTCTCTCCTCAAAGACAAAAGAGGGAACAACGTTTGTCTCATCGATTTTCCTACTCACTTATTTTCTATTCATGAATCAATAATCAATAACGATATAAGAGTGGTATATGTATATATATATTATTACTAATTCCTTTAGTTCCTAGAGGAACATAAGGATTCTGCCATACGTCTCCATTACGTTCGGTTCTCTGACAACGTTTTCACCTGGCTCCACGTCTGCCCACATGCTTTCATCTCCTCTTCACATCACCTCCTCCTCCATGTCACCTCCGCACTGACGACCGACTCACCACTTCCCATTTGGTTGG